ACTCTTAAAATATTTCTAAATTATGGCAAATTGCCATCTAAAATCATTACTGCACTTTCTATCATTAACTTCTTAAGATGGTCTAACTGGTACCTCTTTTTTTATTCTGTCTTTTCTTCCTGCTTGGCCTGGCTTTTCTTTCTCTAGTTGGTGTCATTCTAGGTACCCACAATTCCCAATGCCTGGGAGCAGAGGATCATTTGTATAGATAGCCAGCAGTAATCATGGCTCCAAGGAACTAGGGTCCCCTGTACTAGGTATCTACACAAATAAATGATTACTGATGTTAGGGGTGGAGTATAGATTAGGAGAACAACTTGTTTTATTTTTATTTATTTTTTCATTTCTGTGTTTAGAACACGGTCTGCAAGGTCTCACTGTGTAGATCTGACTTGTAGTGATTCTCCTGTTTTCAGCCTCCCAAGTGCTGGGATTATAGGCACACACCACCACACCCAGTCTCAATCGCTGTCTCAGCACACCCCACGGGTGGGTACTTGTTGTTTTAGGATTGGTAAAAAGATAGAGACTTTCAATCAATTCCATTTAGATTTGAGTCCCAGCTCTGCTGTTTACTGTGTGACTAACAATTTTTATTAGTCCCTCACCAAAAAATGATTGTAATTAAACCTATCTTGTAGGATTATTAGGTTAGAATTTAAAAATACTGAGCATGTCATGAGTTCACCATAAATCATAACTATTGCAGATTTTCAGCTCTGGTCAAGATAGAAAGGAAAAGTTTCAGCCCGTATCTCTAGGCAAAATGTAACCATTCAAAACAGGATTAGACTTTCCCAAACATTTTGCCTAAAATATCAAAGTCATTTTTAGTCATTGATAAATTAAGTCATCATATTATTTTCAAGATACTTGGACAGATATAGTCAATGTTATAAAAATATTCTGAGCCTTTTTTTTTTAAGCATTTGGTATAGGGTCTCACTACGCAGCTCAGACTCATAGTGATCCTCCTGTTTTCACCCTCCAGTGCTGGGATTAAAGGCATGCACCACCATGCCTGGTCTTGGTGGCCAGCTCAACACACCCTGGAGCAGGGTCTACCTGGCATGTGGTACCAGGGATCAAACCCCGGTCACTGTGTTTGCCTAAGCAGGTGCTTAGTCTGCTGAGCTATCTCGCCAGCCCTTTTTCTAAGCTTTTTAAATTCTGAGTATTTAAACAAAAGTATCATATTTGGTTGGCTGTTTAGAAATTTTTAATTATAATAGCCTAACCTGATAAAAAAAAATATGCCCATAGGGCTGGCCAGATAGCTCAGTGGATTAAAGCACCTGCTTAAGCAGACACAGGGACCAGAGCTCTATCCCTGGCATGCTGTGCTGGCATCACCTCCAGGGCGTGCTGAGATGGTGACTGAGGCTGGGTGTGGTGGTGTGCACCTGTAATCCTAGCACTTGAGAGGCTGAAAACAGGAGAATAACTGTGAGTCCAATCTATGTAAGGAGACCTGTAGACCCTGTACTAAATACATTTTTAAAAATACGCCTATAAATGTTGATCATCTCTATTACATGTAAAAGGAAGTCAGCTATAATTTTGAATGCAGTGAATGGCATAAAGAAATGTGCAGACCATCGAAATGTTTATAAACCAAGGCCTCCTCTGGGACTCAGTGCTCTGGCTTTTTTTGTTTGTTTGGTTGGTTTTTTTTAATGTAGAGCACCAAGCTTTGTTCATACTTGAATTATATACTTTGCATAAGCCATGCAATTTAACTTTAACCCACAGGACTGAAGATAAAATTAGCTCAGCCTGCAGAACAAGGAGACCGTGAGCAAGCGAGAACGTTAATCAAAGTGAAAGCTTCACCCTCCCTGCTTGCCAGCTCTGTCCCTCGCTTGCTCTTGCCAGATGATTCGGAGTATCTTATGCTTAACTAGTCAAAATGGCAGAAACAGGCTAAAATTTTCAATATGAAACATGGATTTGTCTTCTAGCTTGATGTCTGCATCTAGGCCCTGAGGAAGTTGATGAGGGACACACAATTTTGAGAAAATCATAGGTGAGGGCATATCTTTGCCACTTGTAATCATGATACAGTTGGAGTAATTCAGGCATGAGTGGTTTTTTTTTCCCCAAATACAAAACAGGATTTTCTGGCTGAGAACATCTGCCTAAACAAGCTTGTCCCTCTGAATATTTTCAGCTATAGTTCATATTTGTTTAAACCCAAACAGGTTTGGCTTCATGACTCTTCAGTTCAATTTGATAGAAGGTGGACAAAGAACCTCATGGACAGGTTTGGATGCCTTTCACTTTGGCACCTGGTTTCCTAAAGTACCAGTAGGGGACCTGACCCCAACCTCCATCCTCCTCTCTATAACACTATTCAGTCATCTCCAGGGAGCCTGATGAGGATTATTGTTGTTGTCACTGTCATTTTTATCCCAGGCAGAGGAGGCAGTGACTTAGTTCTATGTGTTCAGAGATGATTCCATATTATACATATTTAGCCTACATAATAATTTCTGAGTGTTTAACATGAACGTCTAGCTTTCAGATGTCAGCAGTGGGGAATTGCTCAATTGCCACTGAATGTCAGTTTGCTTTAACTTCCTCCAACCCCACTTGAAGGAACTTGCTTGATAGATGACTGTATATTAAATGGGTGCCTTGTAACTCAGTGTGAGTCTCTAATTCTCAACCCCCATGGTAGAAGAGGAACTGGTCAAGGACATTCCATTCTAATTTTCTGTCACTGTCAATGTTAACCAGAGCTCATACAGTGGAGATGTGGGGGTGGGGAAGATGGCTCCACCATCACGAGCTACTGTACTCTTAGAGCCACATTTATTTCTGAGAAGTTGTGAAGGAGAGATGTGCTCCAAAGAGAAGAGGACTTGCTATGGACCAGGTAGGACCGACCATCTGGACAACCCAACTCAGTGACTGCAGTGCACAGGTTAGACGTGGGCAGGGCACTCTACACTTTCAGCTGAAAATCACTTGTTCTGTCCAAGGAGATGAAATGTGAGCTACAAACAAAAGATTCAGTTGGGAGACCTAGTTCGTATGTTAAGATGTTCAAATATATTTTCTCCCTTAAAATTTTTCTCAGAACTTAAATATTTTTCTATACTGATTATTTCCAGCCATTTTATAGAAGATAGAGGCGCTAGAAAACCAGCAACTCCAGAAAATACTAATTCATTTTTGTGTGTGTTAAAATTAATTACCATTAACATAGTCAGTGATGTGATAGGCAATTAAAGACTTTGGGAGGGGTAAGAAGACAAAAATTGTGAATGTTTCGTACTTAAATCAATCTCACAGCACTTTATAAAAATGTTGGCTTATACCCAGGATCTAAGGGCGGGGGGTGGGTATGATTTCTTTGTAGCCAAAGAAATAGAATGGGAAAGAATATCTTCTATTTTCTTCAAATAAATAATTTCTTGTTTGATAAAGTATGGTAAATGAAATGCTTTTCTGGCATGTACCTGCCAGTAGTATCTGGAGATAATTTTTCTAGCAAGCTACACTGTTTTCTTCTTTGGGAACGTGGTGGCACTGGTTTTGTAGCAAAATAGTATTTGCTTATTAGGCATTTCTTTAAAATCCTGAATAAGCAGCCCTTTCAACAGTTTTTGTTCCACATGTTAAACATTTCATTGCAATTTGAACTTCAATTTTGTGTGTACGTGTGTGTGTGTGTGTGTGTGTGTGTGAGTGCATGTGAGTGGTGTGGTGCGTGTGAGTGATGTGGTGCGTGTAAGTGGTGTGGTGTGTGTGTGTGTGTGAGAGAGAGAGAGAGAGAGAGAGAGAGAGAGAGAGATAGGGAGGAAAGGGGTTGTGACAAGAATTCTTAAAGGGTTTTTTTATTGAAGGTTTTTTTATTTAAAAAATTGATTCCCCACAATTATGTATTGGAGTCTGCAGAAAGTGATTCCTATTTAGTACATAACAGCCACGCTAGGTCCCATCAATCTTGGGCAGTGGGGGTAGGGAAATGGTATTGAAGAAGACATGAAATTTGGTGTTTGAGTAGATGAGATTTAATTTTCGGGAAACATTTCACTCATAAAACAGATAGCAGCCCAACGTCAGCCCTGACCTCCTGATGTCAAAGTCATCATGCAAGCATAGCTAAAATAAGCCTCAAAGTAAAACAAAGAAACATTGCCTCCCAGCACAACACAATTTCTTGTCCTACAGAACGCACTGTCTTTATAGCCTTTTTGCTATTCCTGTAAATGCCTTTTTTACCTTTAAATTTAACCTTTGAAGGGGGAGGGAAAGGAAAACTCATTTTGCATTTTCCATGTTCCAAACACGTACAGTATGCTGCTTTAAATCTGAGTATTATTTAGGTCAGTAGCCTAAAGATAGCTTTTATTGTTCATGACAGTCAGCTATGCATCCGAAGGAACTCAGCATCAATCTATTTTTCTGCACTAATTTTATTCTGCTTCTAATTTAAGAAAATTCATTCACAATCTTAATACGATTCTGTCTGAGGCGGTATCTGCATTCTCTACTGCAGATACACTTAGCAGGATACATTTACGCTGCTTGTGGTTAAAGGTTATAGAACGGATATAGACAGCTGAGCATGCATTCTTCCACAAGCCTGCCGGCACCATTTAGGATTTTGAAAAATAATCTAGAAATGCTACACCCTTTATCAGAAGCATTCTTTATTTTGCAATAGCTAACAGTTTTGATTTTTACTGTTAGCAATTCTCTGAAATTAACAGTCTATAAAAATACATCCCGGACCAGATACATACTGTATTGAAAGCTTTCTTCAAGAAGAGGATATGACAGTATTCGCTCCAGCTTATTTTCTTCCTTAGCAAAAGGACTGAATCACAGAAGCAGGAGGACACGTTCATTGTGCAGCAGCTCTGCTCAAGTGTATGAAATGCCTTCTACTGTCGGGTTGCAGAATTTGGACTTTGCTAAGCAGTGTTTAGTGATTGGGCTCATCTTGCATCACCAGTTGATGACATTTTTCTTTGTTCCCTCCTACCCAGTTGAACCAAGACTCTGAAGCTGATATGCAATGTCACTTACAACATTAATCAGATACTGCATTTAAGGTGAGCTGTCCCTTGCCTCCTCCTTCCCTAGTGCTCGTGTGCTGCATGCATTGCGTATCTTGCTCCTGCGAGCCTAAGATGGCAGTCAGGATTAGCCGTGCTTGTGCTGTGTGTGCATGCTGTGTATAGAATTCATTACACGTTGCCTAGTTTTTCAGATGTGAGTATGTAAATGCTCTGTATGCCGTATCATCCGGTAGAGAAGACTTGTTTTTGCCTCATTACAGCCTTAGATATTTCGACATCACCTTTCATTTCCGATTCATTTGCTTCTGGGTGTTTGCTTTTCATCACATTCAAAATGCGATTTTACCTTTTTTTTTTTTTTCAAACAAAGCCAAATAAGCCCCACAAAACCCTAAAACCAAAAACAACAACAAAACTCTGCTACCAGATGGTGTCTCCCCTTTCCTCCTGCATTTGCTGTCTTTTAAATAATGTATGTTGTATTGTTAATTAATGTGAATATCAAATTAAACACATGAAACTTACATGTTTACAGTGCAGGTGGGAGGCAAGGTGGGATCTATTTTTAATTCTTAAGCACTCCATGCAGTGCAAGCAACTTCAGTCCTCAAATTTGTATTTTCACTGCTGTTATCAGTGTTTTGATTTTCAGCAGATGTGACAGTGGCCTTTGCAGTGGTCAGCTCTGAGCTTTGAACTCTCAGAGGAACAAGGGGAAAAAATTCAACACACCACCTCCTTGGTTGCAGCCTCAGAGAAATCTTGGATGAGGAACTTTTTTTTCAGTCTTGTTTTCCTGTTGATAAATCCAGTCCTGGGGATCATAGTACATTCAAGCTGCTCTGCGTATGATTTTTGGGGTGTGTGACAATTGCATCTAAAACTTGTGAGCAAGAAGACGGAGAAATCAGTTGGTCTCCATCGCCTTCCATAAAAATGGCTGTCCTGTCATGCTAGCACTGCATTAAGTGATACATACAGGTAGGTTGAAATCTGCATGTTTTATAGATTTTTAAGCCATGTAGTAAGAACATTAGCTAGATTAAAATATGACTTTTTAAATAAAAATAAGATAATTGTAATCTTTGGAGGGGTATTAATTTGGATAGCCTTTCCTACTGAGATACTATGCATAGTTTTTATAAACTTATAAAATGATTCTGCTTTAAGAGTATGATGATTCCTTTCTTTAAAAATCAGTTATATGATAGGTGTGGCGCCACTAGGCAACAAAAGAATTTTTTGAAAAGTCTGATGATTCAGCTTTATTTTAGCTAGAAACTAAAAATAAATGGGTTTCTAGAGATAATTTCAAAGGGCACAAATAAGCTTAATAAGAAATATTTAAATTTTAAAAAGCGGTCTTTTACCGTGTTATAAGAAAGATGAAAATAAAAGCTTATATACTTCTAAAATCAATTTCAGGTAATATACAAGGGTAAACACATTATTGATATATGTGTATATATATATGTGTGATATGGGGGTGAGAGTTACCATTTTTAAAGGGGAAAACATTAAACATAAATGGCCCTGTTAGAAATATAGAGCTTCACTAAATGAAATCAAGCACCTCAAATGGTTCACTGCAGACCATGTAGCTGTGGTTCTGTAAGTTCCAAATTCTGGCATTTTTCAAAATAATTTCCTGAGCTCTTCCCTTTGAACTTAACTTCTCAAATATATTTTAGTTTCAAATTAACACTGGGCCGGAACCTGTTTCCTTGGTAACCAAATCGTATTTAAAAATGCAATAACAGATATGCAAAAGAATGTCTTTAAAAAGGATACAAATGTTCAATGAAAATTTTGCAGTTCTGTTTCCTCTCATAGAATCTGAACTGTTTTAGACGTTTTAAAAATGCGGTCTTTGAGCCTTAAAAATTAAGCCATATTTCTAAATATATAGAGAAAGATTGCAGAGGAACAGCTTTTTCCTCTGTGCTCAGTACTTTCAAAATTAAGGTTTCCTTTGTAATTGCTCCAGAATGCAGGTCAAGGTTTGTGTTCAGAGGTGTAGTAGTTTCATTATCATGAGTTCATCAGCGCCTCTGAAACAAAAGGTATTTTAGTAGTTCTGAGAATCAGAAAATGCTTTTGCTCCTATTTCTCCCCATTCTTCCATTGATAATCTCTGAGCTCTAGGTAGAAACGGATCCAAACCCAAACCTGCCCCCCCAATGACAAGTGCACATTGAGCTTGCATGGTAGGGTCTTTGTAGGTGTGGTAGAGGGAGATGTTGCAAAACCTAAAACCTCTCTGAGCTTAGCTCTGATGTGAAGAACCTTGAGATGCAGAAACATATGGGTAAATAGTTGCTTTATTCTAACAGTTTTTCTAGTAGTGTACAGCATTGTCTGCACAATCCAACTTCCTCTGTGCTAAAGGGGTGGTTGTGATTCTAATTGTTGTTGTGTTGTTTTGAGGCCAGCTAAAGTATTTTGCGTGGAATCTTTCTCTGGCTCAATTATATTAGAACAGAGTTCATCTCATAGTGATTTCCTGCTCAGGGCTTGCTGTGAAATATTCATCCTGCAACACCTTTATTTATTTAATTATTTTCCAACTGTTCGGGAGCCATTTTCCTCTTTCTTATGACTGAAAATGAACTAAATGTATTCTGAATATAGTATCCATTGGATCGTAAACTAAAGGGAAATGTTGGAAACCTGTTTTAGATTGCCATTTATTTTAGTACCAGTAGTATTAACAGTTGCAGTAGGATCAGGCTAATTGTCATTTGCTCTTGAGCAAATAGTGAGCTCTGCATTTGTAATTAAAACACTACTGCTATTCAGAAAGATTACTACCACAGTGTCTTCTCTATTAATAGACCAGGGCAAATGAATCATTTTAACCCTTTTGAATCTTAGTTATAAGACTGGAACAATACAATGCTATTGTGTTTAGTATAACATGAATATCTGAAAGATACCAACATTCAAAGATGTCGATCCTTTTTGTTTTAACTCAGGCACGGTTGCATCATCTTGTAGATTTTCATATCTAATGACTTTCTGAAATGGCTTTATTTATTGATGTTGTTCTTGGTTGTGCCTAAAAGAATTTTAAATATGTTTGAAGGTACTAGAAAACCAAGTAAGACTGTTGGGAAGTATATTATGCCATTGTCATTCTAATAAATAGGTCAGTGAATGGAAAAATAATTATTATTTATTGCTTGATTATGTTTCACCTAACGCTTTGCCTTCCTATTTCACAGTAATGTTTACAAGGCACAAAACCTTTCTAAACTTACCCATTTACAATTGTTATTGGATTTCCTAGATCAGCTGAAAATGTTTCCTGCCAGCTGAAGATAGCACTTACCCCTATCCTTGTTTAAGAGACCATGATTAACCTATTTGCACTTTTTGGCTAAGGTGCTTGTACTGGGCAAGCTAGAGCTGGTACAATAGGAAGAAAGCGCAAACAACTGCTTTGTTCTCACCAAAATTAAATGGGGAAATGTGCGGCTTTCTGCCTGAATGATTTACAGTATGAAATTCTCAACATTTTTTTCCCCTTTGGAGGATAGGGAATGCATTTCTAAGCTTTAATCCAGTGAGAATTCCATTCTGCATCTCTCACTTCTACAGTGATGTCATCTACTACAGCAATTTCAATGGATTCCCCTATCAGATCTTGACTTAGAGCCTCTTTACTGCACGGTATGTGAGAATTATCTAGAACAGAATCTTACCTTTCTCTCTAGTACTAAATCATGCTAAATCTTTGAGTTTCGTGTGGCTTATTTTTACAACTCAAAAGGAAATGCTCTTCTTAATAGCTTTCCTGGTAATGAAACACTCAGCCCATTTACTAAGCACCTACTGTCTATAGTCATATTACAGAAGCTAGAAATATAATAGCGAACAAGACCGATCACAGCATGCTTCTCATGGACCTGACTTGGTATGGCAGGGCTAGAGACGGGGAAAGGTGGTAAAAAGAAATTTGTAAACAAATAACTGAAAAAGACAAGTGAAAGAAGAAAAATAAAATCTTAAAAAGCAAGAGTGATCAATTGTGAGGAAGAGAACCACTTTAGGATGGTTGGTCAGAGAAAGCCCTCCTGGGGCGGTGGTACTTGATGGAGAACTGTATGAAGACCTGACAGGTACCTCCCCAGGTCGAGCTGTGCATAGGTCCAAGCTGCAAATTTCCCCTTCGTGGTGTACATGTGACTGTCTCAGAGCCAGGTCTGCCAACTTCTCAGTTGAATCTCTAGCAGTGACAGTGTGGCCCAGGCTCCTCCAGTTGGGTACCAGTCAGGTCATGGCCTTTGGCCCACTCACCACCCTGAGACTACCTCAGGAGTTGCAGTGGAATTTGGGACATTGCAGTCCTAGGTGGTGATGAAATGCTGGCACAGATTCAGCACCAACCCAAGAAAAGCCTTGCAGAAGAAGGAAATTTCTGGGAAGCCTCTTCCTTTGTTTTTCTTAAGAAGTCCAGAATTTAAGCTATTTAGTTTTTGAGATAGCTATTTAATTTTTCCAAAGGCAAAATGGCAGAAGGATCTGTCTGATCTTACCAAGAGGGTGTGTGTGTGTGTGTGTGTGTGTGTGTGTGTGTGTGTGTGTACTGGGACAGAACCCATGGCCTTTGCACTGAACTATATTCCCAGCCCTAAAACATTTCAGCTCTGTAGACATCTTGCCTGCTGTTAGTTTTTTGTTAAGGCTTTGAGTGACTTTTCTCTATCATAACAAATAGTGCTAAGGAGATTCTCTAGAGCCTTTGCTGATAAAAGCCAGAGAAAAAAAGAATGGGTTTGCTGCACAAGTTAGAAACTATAAGGTTCTTCAGGACATTCAGAAGCACTTTCTAAAATTGACTCATAATTTAGCAGGCTTTGCTTAGCACAAGGAAGATGGCCTAGATGGCTCCTTATACTTCATTTGGGTTTTTGAGACATATCCACTGCACCAAGACAAACTTCTGGTCCTTTGCAATAGAGAGTTGCCCATCATGGGGGAGGGGACTTCAACAGTCAGTTCACTTCTTGCGCATTTCTTGAGCATCTACT